TAAATCCCCAAAGATCATGCATGATTCTACGCAGACGCTACACAGGACAGGATTTGGATGTGATGTCAGTGGCTTACCTTCGGAACTCTCAGACTACTCCACCACCACCTCCTCCACCTCCCAGACGTGGTGGGACTCAACCACGTGGACATCAGTCTCACATCCGACCCCCAGGTCCCCAACGTCGCCCCCCCACCTCTACAGGAAAGCGTTTGTGGGAGCGTTGATGCTCGCATGTCGACAGTGGGCTGTTTCACGGAGAGTCAATTTAATCATTGGAGATCAATAACAACAAATCAGTGGCTCTTGACTACCCTTTCGAGAGGGTACCGTATACAGTTTCGCTGTCGACCTCCTGTTCACACCGGCCTGAGACAGACAATAGTTCACGATCCATGTCAGGCACACTTGCGCACGAAGTTCAGGTGTTGTTGCGCAAAGGTGCCATAGAACACATCGATCCCCAAGTTCATTCCGGGGGATTTTTTTCAATTTATTTTCTGGTTACAAAGAAAGATGGCGGGTTTCGCCCTATCTTGGATTTAAGAAACTTAAATTGTTTTCTCAAGTTTCTCCCGTTCAGAATGTTACAACAGATGTGTTGCAGGCCATCATGCCGCAAGATCGGTTCGTGACAATAGACTTGAAGAACGCCTATTTTCATATTCTGATTGCGCCAGAGCACAGGCGGTTCCTTCGATTTGCCATAGGGGGTCAAATATTTCAGTTCAGGGTTCTTCCGTTTGGCCTGGCTTTGGCACCAAGAGTTTTTTCGAAGTTCGTCCAGGCAGCATTGGAACCACTCCAGAGGACTGGCATGAGAGTGTTACCGTACCTGGACGACTAGCTTGTATGTGCAGCATCACCCCAGCAGGTAATCGATCACCTGCTGGAACACATCACATCTTTGGGGATCACTGTGAACTGGGACAAATGCAAGCTTGTTCCAGCGCAGTCAACCAGTTACATAGTCCTTGCTCTAAACTCTGTCACAATGTCGGCTTGCCCGACTTCAGAGAGAATAGGGTCAATTCTGAGAGCTATAAAGAGGCTTCGGGTGGGTCACACTCAGCGCTATGTGGCTCTCTTGAGACTCTTGGGGAAGCTCACAGCAGCAACAGCAGTAGTACCACTCGGGTTATTGTGGCTCAGGCCATTCCAGTGCTGGCTCATCCAAAAACGCCTGTGTCCGATACAAGACAAATACACAAAGATCAGAGTCACACGTCGCTGCATGCAAGCCCTAGCACCTTGGTCACAGCGGCAGTTTCTCCTCACAGGAGTTCCATTAGGACCTCCACCTGCACTCTGGGAAGTCATAAGGACGGATGCCAGTCTTCTCGGCTGGGGGGAGTCTGGCGCAGGAGGGGAGTGAATGGCACCTGGAAAGGTTACCCTTTTGCATTTTCAGACTGTTCTCAGGGGAAAGCATGTCTTGGTGTGCACGGACAACAGAGTGGCCGTTTTTATATCAATCATCAAGGAGGCACGAGGTCACAGAGTGTGCTTTGGGTAGCTCACAATCTACTAATTTGGGTGCAGACCAATCTGCTTTGCATCCGGGCAGCATACCTACCAGGATGACTCAATCATGCTGCAGATGCTCTCTCTCGTGGCAGGGTGTCACAGGGAGATTGGAGTCTACATTCAGACGTCGTGCAGATGATATGGAGAACATATGGGACCACTGCGGTGGATGTGTTTGCAGACAGTCACACGTCTCACTGTCCTCGTTGGTTTTCCCTGATGGACGAACCAGGATCTCTGGGTCTGGATGCGTTAGCCCATGACCGGCCGGACGTGATCCTATATGCTTTTCCCCCGTTAACACTGATTTGGAAGACTCTGTCGGGTGCACGACTGCAGGCACTGTCTACTGTTAGTGGTTCCTCATTGGTCTGCAAGGCCGTGGTTTCAGACCCTTCTTTCGGTGTTAATAGGGCCACCTTGTCGTCTGCCAAACAGACCAAACCTATTGAGTCAGTTAGAAGGAAGAGTTTGGCACCAACATCCAGACCGATTGAAGCTGTGGGTGTGGGTATTCATGTAAATGGAAGGTATTCTGTGATTGGTGTTCTAGCCAAGATATTGATCCATTACAGTGTTCAGTGGGATGCATTTTAGATTTCTTGCAAAATCTTTTGGAGCTTGGACGTTCTGCATCTACACTTAAGGTGTATGTGGCGGCTTTGTCAGCTCACCGGTCCGAGTTTGGTGCTTCTTCACTTGGGTCTGACCAGCTGATTGTTGCCTTCTTGAAAAGAGCTAATCGTCTTTGTCCTCCACGGGCGGTCCGGAGTCCGACATGGGATTTAAGTATGGTGCTCAGTTCCCTGCGTCAGCCCCCATTCGAGCCAATTTTGGAGTCAGACATTAAATGGCTGTCATTCAAGACTGCATTCCTCTTGACAATTACAACAGCAAAGCGTGTGAGTGAACTCCATGCATTGTCTGTGAGTTTCCCCTGTTTGTGCTGGAGTGCTGACTTTAGTAGTGTTTCATTGTGGCCTAATCCGGCGTTTCTACCCAAGATCTTGTCTCCACATTTTATGAACACACCTATCGTGTTGGCTGCACTGCCATCAGATCAAGATGACATACGGTTGGAGCTATGTCTAGTTAGGTCCTTGGGGACTTACATTGATAAGACAGCAGCCTGGCGTAAGACAGACCAATTGTTTGTTTGTTTTAGTGATATGCGCAGAGGTGCTGCACTTTCTTAACAGAGACTGGCACACTGGGTGATGCAGGTTATTTTACATGCGTACGAGTCTGCAGGAAAGTCTGCTCCCTCATCTATTCATTGTCACTCTACACGTGTCTTGGCAACATCTTGGGCAGCGTTCAAAGTGGTGTCGCTCTCTGAAATTTGTGCAGCAGCAACCTGGGCTTCATCATGTACATTTTCACGTTTTTACAGATTGAATGTGACTCCCTTGCCAGCAGTGTGTGCTGCAGTGCTTTCTGCCTGCCCGGATGCTTCGCAGGGGGATCCCTCGTGACTGTTTAGGTATTCGTCTTCCACTAGTGCTTTCAGCACTGCCTCTGGCGGTCTGAAGCGAAAGGAAATAACAAATCAATTTTGCTTGGTTGGAAAGCTACGCTATTGATTACGTCTTTAATTGATTTTTCCGTACATTTCTGCCATATGACTGACAGTCACCACTGATAAGCTACCACTAAATATTGTAGAAACTTAATTTGCTGTAAAGTTGCTTTGCAATGATTTGTATCGTGAAAAGCGCTGTACAAATAAACTTGAATTTAATTGAAAAACTTGAAATAGAACGCTGGTTACGAACGTAACTGTGGTTCTATGACTAAGTGGAAGGCCGCCAGAGGCAGTGCTGAAAGTCTCTGGTCACTCGGTATTGCGAGAATGACCTAAAGCTGCATTCACACTAGCAGTGACTTTTGTCGCTGCATGTCGCCAGGGGCTGGCGATGAGGTTGCTAGTGGGCGTTCTCAATACTGGTTGCCTTGACAGCGAATCAGGTTTCTTGCTGCTAAGTATAAACATTTTGGAGACTAAATATAATCTAAATCTAAATTAAATCCGTGCATACAAACAAAAATGAATGAGAAACAAGAGCCTGCCTACTTCCATTGCATATATTTATCTACGGTTGAGAGGAGAACGATCACATGAGCTCTACTGTCTTCTTTCCTATTGGCTGTCGCTCCCGAAAGTCACTCTTCATTTGCATAAAGTTGAAGGATTCTGAACTTTGTCGCGTCGCTGGACACGCCCCATCCGGTCGCCAACGGTCGCTGTCCCTCGGTGTCGCCGGAAATCGCCAGCTCTCCATTGAAATGAATGGAATTGTGTCAACTTTGTCATTTGATTCTCGGTCAAGCTTGAGTGTGGGGAGTTTTCCACTAGTGCTTTCAGCACTGCCTCTGGTGGTCTTCCACTTAGTCATAGAACCACAGTTACGTTCATAACCAGCGTTTTGTTTTGTTTTATTTAATCTGTTAATTATGAAAGAAAATTTGTAATTTGTAAATGTCATAAAGGGCGTGGTAATGAATTGGACGGCAATACGCCAGGAGAAATGGAGCGGGTCAGACACAATTTTTGACTACTTCATACGTTTTGTTTTGTGGAAAGTCATTTTTTTTTTTATGAATTTCATTTTGTATAATTTGCAACCTAATTTTAAACATTGTTTTGTTGATAAATTATTGAATAAAATAAATAAGAACAGTAAAAGGAACGCATGTGGAATGAAGTACGTGACAAAATACAAACCCACTCCATGCTTCCGCGGCCTGGAGAAAAGGCCAAAACAGTATTTGTTTTCTGTCTGTTGACAGTATTTTCTGGTTTATGGAGTGATAAAAAGAGAAATCCAAAATCCCCTCTGGAAAAACCTTTAACTCTAATATGTCAACAAAATCAAACCAGAATTATGAACCTGGCTTTATCCAATATTCAGAGTTATGTGCTGGAAATGTATGCAAATTACTGCATACTTAATTAGATAATGCCTCATTTTCATATTTAAACATAACATTTCAGAAAACTTGTAATACAAAACAATAATCTAAATGTTTTAAGCACTTTAGCCCCAAATTCTCATGACTTGTCATTTATGTTTATTTAAATAAGTTTACTGTATGTTTTTTTTTACTGAAAATGCAAAATATAAAGTTTTTTTTATTTATTTTGATTTTGGGGTATAGCATGTGACCCAGACATCATGAAAGCTTTTCTTTCATATTAATCAGAGGTTTTGTTGGTCACATGACGATGCTGAGAAGGTCTCACATTGGTTGTAAACGCTGCTGCACAGAGATGATTGATATGTCTGATCGGGACATGTGTGTTAGTGATGTGGTGACTTTACAGAGTTTATGATTTCTGCTTGTGTTTTGTGCAGTGGGGCGCTGTTGAGTTTGGCTCCTGCTCTGGGAAACGCTTTTGGTCCTGCGCTGATGAATAACAATGCACTGGCCACCATCCAGGGTAACTATATTATTGTTCATCTCAAATCTAATAAATGTGACTGCAAGGCATGATGAAATTAAGATATTATAAACATTAACATCATGATTTTCTGTAAAGCTGCTATGAAACAATGCGCTGTAGGGCTGTCATGATTTGAGTACTCAATTATAAAAAATCCTCGATTGCATTTTGCCTGTGTCGATTAACCGGCAAAATACTGGAAGTGGTGTATTCCACAGACGAGAATCCATGAAAAGCATTATTAGACCTAATCATATTATTAGAATAATAATATGATTATTAAAAATCATAATAAAGCATAATGCTAGTGTGAATTCACAAAAGCTGTGTTTCAGTTAAATAAATATATACACTGCGGGTTTAATATGCACTTTATTTATATGCGTGTAGGTTACGTGAATCTCAGAGTGGCTCCGTTCACAATAGGTGCTGGACCACACAAACAGTTATCATTTACACGCGCGGACGGTCTCAAACTCCATCTTTGCATATGCTGAGTTTTGAGTTGCTTATAAAGTTCATCTGGGAAAAATGTGCACCATTCTATCAGATTTATAAGGTAAATCATTTATAAACCTATGCCAACACAGGAGAATACATCATTATCTTTGTAAATATGTTCAAAATAAAATAACTTAAAAATTAAAGTTTAAAACCCTCGCTCTGAGTTTGCTTGTTTTGATGTCCACATGTTCTTGTTCAAGAAATGACAGTGACTGTAGCATTTATATCAGAAAGAAGTAGCCAAATATTACAGATTAAGTGGACTTCTGAATTAAATGTTGTTTGGTCAATATTAAACAAGGATTAGATCGCACTGTAAAGTGGAAAAACAATCATCAGGCCGTTGGCCCTCTGCAGGCATTTTATATAATACAGTACATAAAGTTATGATTTTTTTTTTTTATTACTTTGTATTTTAACTGTTTTGTTCAATAGAACCATATGATTACTTGTTTTTAAACCAATTATTATTGCCTCATTGCTATTATATATATATTTTTTAAGTCCTTTTAAAGTCTATTGTTCGCTTAGGTCTATTTTTATTACCACAAAAAAATATCCGATTACTCGATTAATCGTCAGAATAATCGACCGATGACTCCATTACCAAAATTATTGTTAGCGACAGCATTAATGTGCTGTATAAATATATTCAATGTGTTTTTTCGTCAGCTCTGGCATCGGGAGGCGCTCTGCCTCTGACCTCCTTCAATGGAAACACCGGCCTGCTATTCACCAACACCAGTTCAGGAAGCACTGCCCCCAGTCTGGTGACCACTCCCCTCTTCCTCAATCCGTCCAGCCTGTCTCTACTACCAGCCAATCTGCTGTCAGCTGGCGGGGCTGGAGGCGGAGCTCTCAACCTGCAGCTGGCCAGTGACATGCAGCAGAGTACTGTTGCCATGACAACCAAGAGCATCGCCTTGGCCTCGAAGGCGCAGTGAGCGCATACGGCTCCGTTCAATCCTGTGCTATTACCAAAAACACTTCTGATGCGTGTAGTACTTCCTGCAACTGAATATCCGTGTCACACGTTTGATGTTCGAGGAAACGGTCAGGATTTAACTTTATTTTTCAATCTATTTCTTAAACTAACATCTAAATTAACCAAAAATGTGACTGATTCTTCATGAGAGATTATTTCACATAAGAGTTTATATTGACTTTCTACAAGGGTTTCTGTTTTTATTTGCGGCTCTGTGAAACAGGCCAATTGTAGATGATTTCAGATTTATAATCAAAAGCATTTCAGATCTTTTATGTTGCAAGTTACTACAGCGCTGGGTGGAGCGTTCTATCAATGACTTTTTAAACTAGTATTCTAACTCGACATCGCTTTATAATAAATATGGTTAGAAGGCTTTTTTTTTTTTTAAATCCGTCACAGCGAGCGCTGCTCCTGTGAGAGATGCAAATGAGCTGTCACATGTTTGTTTGAACATTGATTCTGTGAATCAGCGGCGAATCGAGTTCATTCAACTGAATCTATTAAATCAGTGTGTAATTCCACCTCACATGTATGTCTGTCATATCAAATGTTGGATGCTGAACGTTTATTTCCCATGTTTCTGGTGATTTGAAGCCTGTGAATGGATCGATCTGATCAGTGTGTGAATCTCATGATGACACAAGCTGCACGTGTTCTTGAGATTTGCTCCGTCACGTGATTATGCCAAGAAACTGCTACTTCAGTCTGTGATGTTGCAGTAATTAGCCTCTTTCATGTTTTTCCCCAAATATAAGTGTTTTTCTTTCAGACTAGCTGCATGCGGCGGTTATTGATGCGCTGTTACCTGTGACGCTTTGAGTCATTTGAGAATCACAGTGAACACAATCACAAAAGAAGCTGCAACCAAAGCCAGTTTCTGTTTAGTTTAGTTTAGTTTAGTTTAGTTTAGTTTCCTATGGCCGGGCAGAGGCATATGTAGCGTGTGCATGAGCGCAGTGGTCAGAGGTCAGAAATACCTCCAGCACTGATGTTAAAGCTGCTTCCTGTGATGCGCAGATCTTCAGCTGAAGACCCTGTTCTCAGAACTACTGTGTACAGTCTCTCTTATCACGTTTCTACTTAATTTGTGTTTCTTTGCCAAAGCAAATGTCTGTTTTTTTTACTCTCATAGATTTTGTTACCATTGCCATGCATTATACGACTGATAGACTGCAACGGTTAAAGTCAAAAATCATCATCTGTGTTCTACTGAAGAAACAAAGTCACCTACATCTTGGATGCCCTGGGGGTAAGCAGATAAACATCAAATTTTCATTTTTGGGTGAACTATCCCTTTAACTTCAGCTTTCATGGCACGTTTAACACGTTGACGTCTCATAGTTTTTATCTGCTTTCCAACAGTCTGTGTGAGAAACATAAAGATGAAAATATCAGCACATGTAGTTTGAACCCTTTCAGCTCCTTTCCTCTGATCATTTTCTTTATTTATGCACATGAAAATATTGAAATGAGGAGGCAGCATTGATCTGTTAATATCACTGTCATTTCCGTTTTTGTCTCATGCTGTATAGATTATTATATTCTGTATATCAGTGATTGTGTGCGAGCTGCTGCGCTTTACTTTCATGTTTATTGGCTTTATTATTTTGTGCAGGAATGAAAATGTGGATGAAAACCAAAGAACCATCAGCTTTGTGCCGCCCCTCTGTTTCTTTTCATCCTTAGTAAAAAAACACACTAAATACAAGGATTATATATAAATATATGAAAATTTGTTTTATTTTTGTGGCTCCCAAAGCAAAAATACACTTAAGCGTGAAAACCAAAGATTTTTCATTTTCTCTTTGCCTTTCCCTTTATTTTTTTTTATTTTTTTTAATGTATAATTAATTTTAAATCATAAACACATTGTAGACTTTTTTTTTTTTTTTATCCAGAGATTGATTTTCTGGTGGAATATGAATCATGAGATAAATCGTCTCATGAGTGTCTCGTGTCATTCTCATGAGCCGCTTCTGAGAGATGATTGTGATTTCAGACTGTGTGTGAGATTCTCTACAGAATGTGTTTGATACAGAAGGGCTGTTCACACACACACACACACACACACACAAGCTCAAACAGACACACTCTCTTACACACACTCTCGTTCCTCTACAGGTTTTCGTGGATTAATCAACTCTCACAGTTCAGTTGTTGCTGTTTGCCGTAGAAATTAACCTTTCTGGATTTGTGCGTTTGTCTGTATTTTTCTTTGCTGTTCATTATCAGATGATGAGTTTGTCATGTTGCTGTTGCTGCAGTTGTAGATTTCATTAAAAAAAAGTTCAGTCTCAGACTGTTTCTGTATGATCTCCATGTGTTTTGATCAACAGTCAAATCAAGTTTCTAAACTGATTATTTACTGAAAAAGAGAAAAATCACTTTAACAAGCTGATACAAAATTACACAGAACAGACAAAAGTAACAACCAAATGAAATGCAGTGAAATTTTCAGTTTTAAAAGGATAACATGTAATATTACACTATAATAAAGTACTTGGGGGAAAAAAAAAACACTCATGATACCATGTGAGAGATACTGAACATCAATCAACGTGAATCTTGTTAAACCTGCGGCTCATATTTCACCACAAAATCACAAGAAAAGGCATTTTTAAATCATACAGAATATTAAGGTAATACTTTACAATAAGGTCTCATTTATCAACGTTATTAATGCATTAACTAACATTTACAATGAGTGATATATATTTTACAACATTAACCTTTGTTAATGTTAATAACATTTTTCATGTTCATTTACAGTTCATTAACTAATGTTAACTTACAACTTTTGATCTTAAAATGTATTAGTAAATCCTGAGATCAACATTAAAATCAATAAATATTTTAGATTTATTTTTCATTGTTTGTTAACGAATGAACCCTTATTGTAAAGTGTTACCAAATAGCATTATTATTTGAACAGAATTATTAGTTGAATCTCACAATGTTTAAACGTTTGGTTTTATAATGATTTTTACTTTACATGTGTGCCGTTTAAAATTTGGGTTCATTATGAAAGTCTATAGCCTAATTCACAAAGTGGAGAAATGATAAACACAGTCACTGTAAAAACACAGAATAAACACTGGAGTCTGTAGGAGAAAAAAAAAACTACTGGACTGAAATCAAAGACAGAGTGAATGAATGAGTTAAGTGGCTGAATCTGCACTGGACTGTGATCCTGATGGCCGGTTTGTGGAGAATCAGCATTTAACGTGGCGGTGGGTGAATCGGCTGCATGTTCAGAGAATCATACGTGTCTTTAGTCACGGAGCTCAAACCCTGAAACACAAACACATTAAACCAAATGAAGTGACTTTTATTTGACAGTGATCTGATGTTTAGTTGTGATATTAAATATGTCTGACCTGATAAACCTGATCAGGACGGCGGCGCTGGAGGAAAATCACAAGATCAGTTTGAGTCTTTTGTCGAATCATTCAGATGAATTGATATGAAATAAGACTGAATCAGTCACACTTACGCCTGCCTTCGTTTCAATCTCACGGTACGTGTCGTCCGTCTTTTTCTGCAGAGGCTGAAATAAACCAGCATAACCATAATCATTATCGTCATCACAGTTTTGTGGAAGAAATGCATTAAATCATTTGTTCGGTTATTTCAGTCAAACAAAATGTTTTGTTAGATTTTTGAAAACACTTTCCATCATTATAAACTAGCTGCCAAGTTTATATATATATATATATATATATATATAGCCTATAACATCTGAAGGACGTCATACACTCTTAAAAATAAAGCTTTTCAGTGATGCAACAGAAGAACTTTTTGATTCCCCAAAGAACCTTTCAGTGATCAAGTATTAAAATAACTCTTTTTTTTCTTAGTGTAAAGAACATTTTAATAGTCTAAACAATCTTTTACCAATTGAAAGCTTCCATCACACTTAAAAATAAAGGTTCTTTATTGGCATTTATGGTTCCATGAAGAACCTTTTAACATCTGTGGAATCTTTCCAGCTAGATTATTCAAATGGTCCTCACGCTAAGAAAAAAAAGTTCTTAGTTCTTAGTAGTATTAAGAACTGATTACTGAAAGGTTCTTTGGGGAACCACAAATGGTTCTTTTATTGCATCCAGTGAAAACTTTTATTTTTAAGAGTGATGGATGTTAATAGCTCTAAGCTCTTCATGCAACCATTTATGCCAATGAAGACCCTTTATTTTTAAGCGTTTGAGCTAAAGCGGCTCCTGTAACATTCAGTTTGAGTTTCTGCAGGTTGATCTGATGGGGTTTCTGATGGTGGTTTTGCGTCTCATCATCGGTGGAAAGTGCCGCAGGTGCCTCTGTGGTCACTGACGCGCTTCAGATGGATTATTCTTCTCAACGTGCTGCTAATAAACTTCCTTCCTGTGATGAAGAAGCTCTTACCGTGTAAGTGCTGTCGTCTCCTCGCTTGCGTCCCTGTGAAACACAGACATGTAGATCACAGGCTGCTCCTGTCCGTCATGTGATGTGATGTGATGTGTGTCAAGTTGTCATCACTCACCCCTCCAGCTCGACCTTCTTCATTCGATCGCTGTGTCAGTATGTCGTACGTCGACTGGCCGCTCTTGTTAATTGGCTGGAAAACATCAAACGCTCCGTTAACATCTTTAATATCGTGACCGTTGGCTCATTGATCACGTATCTGATTCTCACCTGATACAAAGAGTCTTGCTCCACTATGCTTTTCTTCTTGATGTACTGAAGAAAGAAGCTTCATTAATGAACAGTGCATTTTCATAGTTTTATATTTACATGTAATGCAGGGATTCACCGTTGTTGTTTTTTTTGTTGTTGTTGTTGTTGTTGTTGTTGTTTGTTGTTTTTTGTCATTTTTGGTTATAGTAGCTAAGTCAATATTTTTTTTTTGCATATCTATGGGTTAATGGTCACATGACATGCAGCTAATCAAATAAAATTATTTTATTTTGATTTGTTTTCATTTATTTTCCTTTTATATTTTTATGATTTAAATCATTTTTAGCTATTCATCAACTTATGAACCCCAGTTTGAGATCTTACTATTAGTATTTTATTATCAATATGGTACACGATTATCCTATTCAAATCAATGTGATAAATAAATTAGGATCAAAGTAATCAAAAAGTAGTGTGAGTATTTTACCTAAAATGTGTAATGTAACAGATTACATTGCTAACATGTAATTTGCAAACAGTAACAGACTACAGTTTGTAGGTAATCTACCATCACTATGAGTTTGAGGTTATTTTCACTCTGTAGTCAGTCTGGTATCTCTCATCTACGTAATTAAAACTGTGACTGTTGAGAGCATGGTCCAACATCATATTTCAGAATCACACACTAGAATACAGTTTACACTATTTCTGCCATATAACAGTAATAGTAAGAGTAGTAAGGTGAAATTCAGGGAGGGGGGTGGTTGTTAAGTGCATCGTCTGTGTATTTGAAGTTCACTTTTTGGGATCCTCATTAATCACTGTTCATACTACAGATTAGCATATAATAGTGCAAGAGTGTATGAACTGGGCCGCAGCTCATTGTGTGTGTGTGTGTGTGTGTGTGTTATAGACTCTCACTCGCTCGCGCACGAAGAAGGCAGTGATGATGATGCAATACAGCAGCAGAAATGCGTCCAGGATGTAACAGTACTGAGGATCATACTTCGACATTGCTGAAAACACAAGAACAGCAGATTGTTGATGAATGAGTCTGAACAAAGCACCTGAGGGAAAAAACAGCAGCACTGATTCAATCGAGCATGAGCACATTCAACAGTGTTATTATATTCAACAGAACAAACACACACACACACACCACATGTTGGGTTTCCATGTTTTATGGGGACATATAGGCGTAATGGTTTTTATACTGTACAAACTGTATTTTCACAAAGCCCATCACACAAAGCTTTCCGCATTTTTAGTTTTTCAAAAAAGATCATTCTGTATGATTTGCAAGCTGTTTTGCTCATGGGGACCAAACAATGTCCACACAAGGACAAGGATTTTGGATATTGCCATCTTTGAGAGGACATTTTATCCCCATAACGTAGGGTATACCTGAACCACACAGACTCACACTCACACAGATGCACACACTCTCACATGCACACTCACACACACACACACTCACGTACCACACATACGTACACACACACATACACTCTCGCTCTCTTATGAAGTGTTCGTGGTGTGTGCATCTCGAGTGTTTCTAGTTCAGCGGTTTGTTCAGCTGCTCTAACTGACTAACTGTGTGTGTATGTGTGAGAGAGATAAAGAGGGAGGAACACAAGAGAGTGATACAGCGCACACACACACACACACACACACACACACACACACACACACATAA